TTCTCAACCTCTAGTATTCTCCCATAAATGATCTATTAATGCATTACGAAGTGCAAAATGAGCATCTTTGTCCTTAATTCTTCTATGTGGAGCTAAAATTCTTGAAATTCGTTGATTTTCATCTACTGCAATTTTCTACTGTTGGAGTTGGACCTTCAAATCATCTTGATTGGTGCATTAAGATCGCGCTCATCCTCGATTATCATGTTGTGCAGTATAATACATGTAGTCATTATATCATATAGCACTTCTTTTTGCCAAAAAACGTGAGGGTCCTGCAACAATTGCAAAACGGTTGTTGCAAAACTTCGAATGCACGTTCAACATCTTTTTGGCATGATTCTTGTTTCATCGCAAAAATATTCTTCTTTGCCGAACGTGGCTCACGAATAGTTTTTACAAGGGTTGACCATTTTGGATATATACCATCAGCTAAATAACCCATATTATATTCTTGTCCTTGAATAACATAATGGGCGGGAGGAGCAGTCCTGCAGCAAGATCGAAAAACAAATGTGATGACTCTAAAACATTAATGTCATTATGTGCCGGGCATACCAAAATATGCATGCCATATCCAAAGGTCATAATCAGCCACAGATTCAAGAATAATATTTTTTATATTTGCACCATTCATTTTTGAGATAATTATATATTTTTTTGTACAATTAACTTATAATTTTACATAAAATAATAAATGCACGAAAATTAATTATTCAAAATTATACACCAAGTTAAGATATAATATTAATATTATAAAAGACATTACAATAAACATAATTAGGTATATATAAAGAGATAAATTAAAAAATTAAATAATAAAATAAATAATAAAAAATTGATGAATAGTAATTGGGGGAGATGAATAGTGTACCCCCATATTTGAGGTAAACAATAAAATAATAATAAAAAATTGATGAATAGTAATGGGGGAGATGAATAGTGTACCCCCATATTTGAGGGAACACTATTCATCCCCCATTTTGGGGACAAAAATAGGGGAAGGTTGGAGCAAAATTCCCCCAAAAATTTCCCCCATTACGGGGATGGTGCAAGGTTGGAGATGCCCTGAAAAATGATTGTCACTTGTTTAATGGCTTAGCCATTTGGCCACATATCTTCATGCAAAAGGCCACATTATAGATATTCATAGCCACTTAACTTAGTAAAGTCATTTGTCAAATAATTTTTAAATAATGTCACATGTAAAACTCTTGTCATAAACCAATTATATAAGATTATTTGGCACAAGGCTTCAAGCAAGAAGCCACTAGAAAATAGATAGAACACTTATGAAATAAAAAGACCCATGACTATTTAAATTTTGATAATACTCCTCCACTTATATCTTCACAAGTAAGTTTAAAGGAGCGGCGTTTTTAATAGATGTTGAGATGTTGGAACTCCTCTAGCAGAGAAAAAGAACCAAGTGATAAAAAAATTAATGTTAAAATACTAGCGAAAAATATGACTTCCTTCGATAAGTGGAGAAAGTTGTGTTTCACCTTTTTATGAAAATTGTTTCCTTTGAAACACATTTTGTAATAACCAAACACAAATAAAATCACAACAACAACGACGATCCAATAAAATTTCACAAAGTAGGGTCTGAAGAAGGTAGTGTATACGCAGACCCTACCCCAATGGGACAGAGAGCCTATTTCCGATAGACCCTCGGCTCAGGAGAACAGTAATAAACAATAAATTTACTCACAAAAAAATATTTATTTCAGTTATACAAGAACATATCCAACTCCAAACCAAGCACAGTTAAATGGCTAGCCATCATGCCAATCCCTCATTTTGTAGTTGTAAAATAGCTAATAAGGTTGACGTACACAAAAAAAAAAGGCAGCCCGATCACTAAGCTCCTGCCAAGCGCGGGGTCCGGGGAAGGATTGGACCACAAAAGGTCTATTATACATAGTTCTTACCCAACCTTTCTGCAAAAGGCTGTTTCCACGGCTCGAACCCGTGACCGCCTGATCACAGGCAAAACTTTATCAATTACGCCAAGGCTCCATTCAAGGTTGATGTAACACAAACCATGAAATTATGATTTGTTTTATGTAAAATGGTTTTTTACCTTCCAAAATCGCCATCGTTAAGCTTTTCAAAATTCGTCATTATAGCTCACACATGATCAAATTTAAAACCCTTTTTGAAGTTCGAATCTTGCATAAGTAAAGCTTTTGACTGTAAGCTGCAAATATTAAAAAAAAACAAAAAAAATAGTAAGTAAATATATATATACAAATAAAATATAAGTAACTACAAAATAAATGCTCACAATATCCTGCTCAAAAGCACCACTAGGACGCAAATTTTCTACTAAACGTACACATTCGTTTAATTTTCTTACCGCCTTCTCAATCATTTGCATACGGTGTTGCAACGATTTCTTGGTGCGACTCTCCCAAAAATCTTCCTTTGTATTGTTGTATGCATCTACAACTCGACCCCAAAATTGATCTCTAGATTGATTGACGCCTGTTATTGGATCTTGAGAAGCATCTAAATGCATTCTACATAATAGAATATCTTCGCTTACAGATTATCCTGCAGATCGAATAGATATTTTTTTAACTGATTAGAGAAAAAGTGAATTATCGGTTTAAAGAAAAATAAAAGCCAATTGTGGTTATAGAAGGTTATGTTGGCACGTCAATATATAGAGATTTCAATAGACACAATAATTTAGTAGATGAGAAGAGGATAGATTTTATTTTGATCTCAGCCGTCGAGTGGATTTCGTTCTAATCTCAACCGTCCGATGGATTTTATGCAGGTACATATGTTTTATAGTCATCACATTTGTTTTCCGATCTTGCTGCAGGTACTGCTCCTCCCGCCCATTATGTTATTCAAGGACAAGAATATAATATGGGTTATTTAGCTGATGGTATATATCCAAAATGGTCAACCCTTGTAAAAACTATTCGTGAGCCACGTTCGGCAAAGAAGAAATATTTTGCGATGAAACAAGAATCATGCCAAAAAGATGTTGAACGTGCATTCGAAGTTTTGCAACAACGTTTTGCAATTGTTGCAGGACCCTCACGTTTTTGGCAAAAAGAAGTGCTATATGATATAATGACTACATGTATTATACTGCACAACATGATAATCGAGGATGAGCGCGATCTTAATGCACCAATTCAAGATGATTTGGAAGGTCCAACTCCAACAGTAGAAATTGCAGTAGATGAAAATCAACGATTTCAAGAATTTTTAGCTCCACATAGAAGAATTAAGGACAAAGATGCTCATTTTGCACTTCGTAATGCATTAATAGATCATTTATGGGAGAATACTAGAGGTTGAAGTTGAATATTTATCTAGTATTTCGAATGAATTTTATCGTTATGTGATATGTATTTAATTAATCTTGTATCGCAATGATTTCACTTTTATTTGAATTATTAGTTAATCTATAATAATTGCTTACAAATTATATTATTTAAAATTTTATGGAATTGTTTTAATTATGGAAATTACAAATTAATAAAAATAAAAGATGGAATTTGTTTAATGGAAATTAAAAAATAAAATTGAAATGAAAGATAATAATATAATATAGAAGAGAGAGAAGAATATAAAAAATTTGGGAAAAAAAATGGGGGAATGGTTGGAGTAAGTTATCCCCAAAATGGGGAATCCCTATTTTGGGGACAAAAAATGGGCCAACGTTGGAGATGGCCTCATGCAATTAAACACTTGTTTAAGAAGACCCCTGGTATCTCTACAAATAGCCTTCTTGTTCATCCGTAAGAGAAATAAACAAAACTTGGTCATTTTTTTACACTTTTTCTTAGCTAATCATTGCTTTCTTCTTTAGCTAATCATTACTATAATTATTATTCCCACTATTGACCAAATCATTATCTCTTGTTATTATTTCTTCCCTCTGGTTTATTCCAAAACTTTCTGGTATTATTTAATTTTGCTGATTCTTGTATCCTCTAAATAAATAGAGGTACGCTTGTTTAATCCTGGGGAAACATTTCACACTGCTGAAATAATTTCTTAAGACAGTGCCCAACACGACTTAAGCCAATTCGTGTATCTGCTTACAAATAATATTATTGCAGTATTATTATTATAATTATTATTATTATTTTTGGTAATTAAACTTTTATATACCATGAAAAATATTTACAATCAATACAAAACCCATACATGTATTCCTATACTTCTCCTCCCTCCCCCGTACACTCTATTGCTATCCGTCTGTTACTCTATCTATTATGTTGGATAGTAATCCAATCTACTTAGAGCTCTAACTGTTTTACTGTTACTTCTACAATGTACTTCTTGTACAATTAGCTTGCTAATTATCTCCCAGTTCCTCGCTTTGGCTTGAGATAGTCTTGCATTTCTTTCCTGCCATACAAAGTATACACACCCTGCTAATACAATCTTGAATAGCTTTGTTTTTGCATTCCTACTTCTTGTCCAGTTTTCTGCCCATCTCAGCTCCTAAGACCAGCCATATATGTTCCTGCTAATACCTTGCCAGTTGAGCATCCTCTTCCATAGTTCAGGTGCATATTGGCACTCAAAGAATAGATGTTGTATAGATTCATTTGCCTGTGTGCATAGAGGGCATGTTTGATCATTGTGAATACCCCACTTTAACGATCTATCCTTTGTGTTCAGTCTGCCATTTGCCACCAGAGTTAGCATGAATATCTGCCTAGGACATCCTACATTGTTGCATACCAATTTCCTCCAACTCACTTTGTTAAATTCTCCTCTCAGTTTATGGTATATGTGCTTGATAGAGCAAGCATGCATCTGCCTGAGATCTTCATAAGTATATCCTACTTTCTCAAAGTTTTCTTTAGCTTTCAATATCTTCCTCATAATCCAGATGCTTGGTTCATTTTCACCTCCTACACATGTTTGTTCTTTATGTAGTAGCACTGCACCCATTGTATCCATAGCTTGTTCTTTTCTTTGCATAGATTCCAGAATTTTTTGCTTACAGCTGCTTTGTTTCATAGGCCAATATCCAATACATTGAAGCCTCCTGCTGACATGGGTTGGCATACTTTCTCCCAAGCTAGTAGATCTTTCTTTGATATGTTGTTGTCTTCTGTCCATAAAAAACTTCCGCAAATTGCCTCAATCAACTTGGTAATCTTCTTTGGAAGCATGAAGATTTGAGCCCAATAGGTTTGAATGGAGAACAAAACACTTTTGATTAGTTGTAGTCGCCCTGCATATGGCAATAGCTTGACCGTCCAGGATGTAATTCTTCCCACTAGTTTGTCAAGTAGAGGTTTACATTGAACTAGTGAGACCCTTTTAGAGCTTAGAGGTACTCCCAGGTACCTTACTGGCAACTCCCATTTTTGAATTCCCAGGAACTCCAGTATGTCTGCTTGAATATCTTGTGATACTCCACCAAAGAATATGGAACTTTTCTTCTTGTTGATCTCCAACACTGATTCTTTTGAGAAATCCAGAAAGCAATTGTATAGTAACTGAATTGAAACCATGTCACCCCTGCAAAACAACAAAAGGTCATCTGCAAATCCAAGCTGCATGATTTGCATCTTTGCACACTTAGGATGATAGTTGAAATCTGGTATGTGATGTAATGCCTTCAATCTTCTTGTGAGATACTCCATTGCCAGCACAATAAGGAAAGGGGATAGTAGGTCCCCCTGTCTAAGTCCTTTCCTGGCTTCAAATGGCTGAGTTGGTGAACCATTCATCATGATAATATATGTAACACTTTGTACACAAGTCATTATCCATTGCACAAGCTGGTCTGGAAAAGCAGTGCACTCAAAACCTGCTCAAGAAATGGCCATTCAAGTGAGTCATATGCCTTCTGCATGTCCAATTTCATCATGCGTCGAGGAGACACTCCTTTCCTTCCATACCCTTTTATTAACTCATGGATGAGAATGATGTTGTCAATTATTACTCTTCCAGGGACAAAAGAAGATTGAGTCTTATCTATGAGATTATCCATAACTCCTTGTAGTTTACTGGTCAATACCTTTGAAATGATTTTGTAGAGGGTGGTGCAACATGAGATAGGTCTATACTCCTTGATAGTAGCAGGGTTTTTGACTTTAGGAACTAAGGTTATTGAGGTACAATTAACTGGCTTAAACATTTGTGATGTCTGAAAGAAATCCAGCACAACTTGTGTTACCTCCTCCCCTATGATATGCCAAGACTTCTTTAAGAAAACTACATTGAGACTATCATATCCTGGTGTCGCGCCCCCTTTTTTCCCTCTCCGCGGAGAGAGGTCCGGGTTTCGACACTTTCATGGGGTGTGATAACTCATTTCCTTTTGGGAATTGGGTATTTGAAGAGTCGCCACCTAACGGATTATGGTGCGTTAGGGCACCTAGAGCGATTAACTCTTGGATTGGTTTGCATTACCAGAGATTATGGTAAAGGGCTCGAAATAACCTCGAGGGGAAGGTGTTAGGAACCCCTCTTGGTCCACAAATGTGGGTCCCGTCCGAACTTATATTCACAAATTAGTCCATATAAATAAACAGTTGAATCAAATAGGTTGCAAGTAAAGCACGTTGGGTAACTCAAATAATAAAGATTTTTTGAACAAGTTGTAAACAAAGGTTTTAAAATAGAAAAAGGAATTTTGGTAAAAGAGGAGTCCTAGGTTGGTTAGCCTATAGGATCACCCCACATAATGTCCGGTAAACACTCCTCGATGAGGGGCTACACGTGACATTAGCGCGTAGTCATCATATTCATATCTACCCTTCCCATCCCCTTAGTGGTCATGCAAAGCGAGTGTTTGGTCAGCGATCTCTATTGCGTGCTGTTACTCGTCCCTTCTTAATGGTCCTGGAGGGATTTAGGACCTCTACCTATATGTGATTCTAGACAGACCCCTAAGATTTTAAGGTGAAAATTCTAAGGCGACATGCAAAACAATTAGGACTTTTAACACATAAAATAAAATGGATCAATTAGAGGCTCAAAGTTTCCTCCTCAAATAAGGCACATAAACATCACGACATCAAGAACAATCAAGGGTTTTTTATTAAACAGTATCCTGAGGCAGGATGTCTAGGTGAATATGCAGAAGACAAGCAATTTATTTTATAAACTCAGGAGTAATGACCCTAGCAGTTGCCTATTGTTTTTTTTTAAAAAACCTATTAGGATCAGAAACATTAAGTCATAGAAAACAGTTTCAGGATTGCAAGTTTGAAAACGCCCTACAGGCTTGCCTATACGCGGAATACTGATGACTATATTTTATAGTAAAACAGGGCAGATTTTAAAACAGACTTTAAAATCCCTATGGGCATGCTGTCTAATAACATATTAAGGCAGTTTTTAAAAGAACTCATTTCAGGAAATATAAACCATTAATTAAACCAGTTTCGAAGTGAATTAAACGTAGACTGGATTGATTTAAACTAGTTTAGATCGACAGGCAGAATTTCTGGTGGCATTCCTTATAGGCATGATATCTAGTTGTTTAACACTGATTTCAGAAACTTTGCAGGCATGGAAAACATGTAAACACTTATTATAACAGAGGCTAGGTTAAATTATATCCTATAGGCATGGTATCTACTTGTGAAGCTCATTTTAAGACTTATAAACACGATTTCTATTATGAATCACTTGAAACCTATAGGCATGATTTCTAACATGGTGAGACAAATATGACAAGATATGAAAATCCTATAGGCATGTTTTCTACTTAGTAAAGCAATCAAATCAAAATGTAAAGTCCTATAGGCATGGTTTCTACCCGTATTACCCCACAAACATGTACCTACCCACCCCTTTCTACTAGTTACCCAATATTCGTTTACAAGTTATTACAGACCATATGAATGAATTACATAAGTAAATAAGAAAATAAGAAGCTATTCTACAGGAAGCCTTCAATTAAGCCCAGGTTTCCAAAGCCTCCAATAGCCTCAAATGCCCAAATTCCATAGACAATGTCATAGTCCAGGTGCATCAAAGTTCCCTAAGGATCTCAAGGATCCCGGGCAGTGCTTGCACCTAGACTTGGTAACCAAATTTGAATAAGTGCAGTGTGGAAGGGCCAGCCTCAGTATGCCAGAGTTCAGAGGGCTCTCAAGAGGATCCCAAGACAATACACATACTAGAGGGGGCAGAACTTATTGACTTAGGAGTAGAGTGAGAGTGCTTGACATAGTTTGAAAGGGTTTTAGTAAGAAAACAGTGTTAAAAGAGACTTGTTTGAAATAATTTTGTAGAATAAAAGAAAGGGTCATGCAGTAAAACAACTTTGAAAAGAGAGAGTTACATGATCAAGCAACAGTAAATCAAACATGGAATCTAAAATCACATCAGCAGTGTTCACAGGACCAAAATCAAGAGGAAAGAAGCTACACACAAGGGTGATGGGGATTGGGCACACATAGAACACATGATTGTAAACACAGAACTAGCCAAGGTCTTAGGAAGTGGTACAGACATGCTCAAACACAACTAATCAAGCACAGTCACAGAACCAGCAATACTTAAGGGGGTTTAGTGTAGGATCCAAATGATTTAAGACCAATTCTAGAACCATACAAGTCAAGAGTGTAGACTACATAGAGGGGATTCATACCATAAACCAGGTAGTGCAAAAACAAAAACAGACTACATAAAGGGGGAACATGCTCACACTGATCCTAAGGAAGGGGGTTCATAATATGCTAATTATGTAATCACCTTAACTGCAAGTTTCACAGCAAAATCATAAGTAGAAGCAAACTAGAAACAAGATGAACTGAAGAAATAAAAGAACCATATTGTTTTTGGAACTTGAATTGAAACTACAACATACCAGTAAAGAGGACAGTAAGCATAAGTGAAGGAGCAGGAGAGCACAATAGTTAGCCTTGGCTTACAGCCGGCTAACTCAGAATAAGAGCAAGTAGCACAAAGAGCAGAAAGTTTTAAGTATGAGAGAGAGAGAGCTTTTGAACCAAAGTGTTCGTGTTTTGTTAATGAAAGAGTGTGTATATATAGTTTGAAAGCAGGTATCAAATAAGGTAAAAATCAAAGTTCATCAGTAATTATGGGGACTTAGAATCAATCGGTCACGAAATCATGGTGAGTACTCCTTTAATTGAGGAGTCAACCTCAAACGGTAATAAACATGTGACAAATAAGGAAGGAAATCGTATAAGGCTGAGCATAACAAATAAGGAAATATTTTCTGCATAGTACAAGTACACACATGTAATAGAGGCTAGGTTCAGCATATTTTAATCAAGGAAAGACTTACGAAATCAATTTATAGCATAATTGACCGTAGAATAAGGCCAGAAAATATTTTACAAGGTTAAAAATCAGTAGAGATATCATGCGAAATTAGTGAAAGATCAATCACAAAGATTCAAGGATTCGAAAGTAGAAAATAGCACTGATTTAGCACAACTTTATAAGAACAAGCACATAGTAAGCAAAAACCAGAACTCTAAGAGGTCGAGTAGGACAAATATCATATATAAATGAGGGATTCATGTAGAGCATAGTCTGAATTAGTAGAATGAGCATGATACAAGCAGGAGAAATGAAGAATCAGAAATATTGGCGAACAAAATAGGGTAAAATCAAACAATAGGCAGGGATAGCCATAATTAGGAACCTCAACAAGAAATCATAGGGTAAAATCACAGAATCACAAAAACATATAGATTAACCGTACACGTTATCAAAACAAAACTCAAAAACCCAAGATTAGAACTAAGAAATTACGGTTTTCAACATAAGCCAGTTGAAGAGGTAGTAAAATCATAGAATCAGTCGAAATATGCAAGATATAGAAGTTTAAATATAAAGAATCGGCTTAAACAAAGTTTTAGAAGAAGTTTCGAAAACCCTAATTTTAGAAGAGGGTGAAAACACTTTGAAATCGATGATTCGTGTAAAAAGGATTCAAGAACAGTGTAAAACATCAAAGAAACAAACTCGAATCGTTTTAAAATCGTACAGATCTAGGAGATGCGGGAAGAAATTAGGGTTTCAGAAGAAATCCATATAGAAATGCAAGAACCTGTCTAGAAGCCCAAGGATTGCGACAAATACAGCATGATTTTGCTTGAAATCACACCGGAGTGGCCAAGAACAGCCAAATAGCAAACCCTAGATGCAAGTCGGCGTGGCCCAGGGCCCTTGAAGACCTTAGAGAAGGTGAGCGTGGCATGAGAGAAGCCATTGGAGGCTTAAGCGACGATGAGAGGTGACCGGAGATGGCCGGAGATGGGAGGTCGGCGGTTGAAGATTCGGGTTAGGTTGAGAGCATTTTGAGAGCCGATGGAATTTTAGGGCGGCGGATGTAGAGAAGTGATTAGGGTTAGGGGGTCGTTTGGAATTAAAAAGGAAAGGATTAATACGGGCCGTTGATCTGAGAGATCAACGGCCAGGATTTAATTGGTGCTGGGCCGGGTAGGCGAGTTCAGGGTTTGGATGGGGTAGTTTAATATGAAATTGGGCTAGGGATGGGTTTAATTAGGCTGAAATTGAAAGGCAAATCTGGCTATATTTTAAATAGCCAATTTTTCCCATATAATTTATAATAAATAATAATAATTTATGAAAAATAATTTTGTGTACTAAAATGATTTAAAATAGATAATTAACATTTTAAAAATATAGGAGGCCAATTTTATGCATATAAATGTAATTATACATTAATAGGGCTAATATTGCAATTATATGCAATTTAGCTTTAAAAATACAAAAT